TAAATCACTCATTCACGTTTGGAGTTTTTTTTATGGCAAAACTCAATTTTGAATAATGTAAAAATTATTTTATTTATTGCTACAAAACCAAAGAGTGTTATCATTCAATGGATTTTAATTTTGTTAAATGACAAAATCTTTTGCTGCCATCCTTATATTGTTTTCTTTCGTCATTAACTAGAATGCCTACAATAATAAAAGTAGATGCTACCTTATATATTTATTTATAAATACTGTTCTTCTGCATTAATTAGATTAGAAAAAATCTTTAATGCCAATGCCTACATTAAATTGAATAAAATATTAAATATAAACATGATTTATTAAATTATAACTTTGCAGTAGATATAAAATATTACTAAATACTATATTTAAATAATAGTATATTGCAATATTATTAAATTATAATGTCGCAAATTAAATTACTGCTGGGCTGCATTGGTAGCGGGCGTCAATGAAACAGAGGCTTGATCCTTATGGTGCTTCTCAACAACTTTCTTTACATACATATATTCCCGAGACTCAGAATTTCCTATGACATTTTCTGGTTTATATGGTGGATTAATTGTAACTTGATTATAAACAACAATGTTGGGTCCTGACCAAGTCACTTCATGAATAGTTTTTGAAATAGCAATGAACAATTTTTGGCCTTCGGGACTTACTCCTGCAGCAAGGGCATTAACTAGTCTTCTTTTTTGTTCAATTTGATTCCTTACACGAGTGTTTAACTTTGCAGGTTAAGCAACGGGGGCACTTCGGGAACACAGCTCGTTTCTTGCTTAACTTGAACGTCATTGACAAGAGATAGGTTAACCATATACACATCGTTTAAATTATTCCTCCCACTGCTCGAAGGACATTTGAGGATTAACATTTTTGTTTGTTGATCAAATGCTAACACAACACCTTCTATATCTTGATCGTGACATGTTTTGCATGCTACGGTACTACCTATTGCAAAACACTCGCTCATACCAGCCATTATCGGTTATGTTCTTAAAGCAATGTCACTGGTTTTGAATGTATAACTGCAACTTTCACATAAATATTCACTATTGTTTTGACATTAAATAACTAAATTTCCTAATTGTTCTTATAATCAACATTGCATTTAGTCCATGCAACTACGAACAAGTAAAAAACATTAATAAAAACTGTTTGCAGTTGACAACTTATGACATATGACAACTTGCTTGACAGAAATCTGAAAATGGCTGAAAAGTAGACACCTCAATATCATAAGTTTTATGAAAACTTGAACTTATAATATGTTGTATAAACCATTATTCATTATAGATAAAAGATTAAATGTATAGGAATATCAAAGCGCAATATTGCATCGAAATAAAATGATATGTTACATAACAAAAACCATTGCTGTCAAGTCATATATGCATATGTATTACCAGAAAGTGAAAAAAGTTTCCCATAGATAAGGGTGCTTTTCACGTTCACAAAATTATAATTAATTATAATTAATTAATTAATAATAAATATAAAAAATTAATTAATAATATATAACATAATCATTAATGACAAACTTTATTATTAAAGAAAAACTATTTTTTAAACAAAGCATGAAAAGAACCAAAAGAACTTCCATCGGAGCAGATCCTGCGCCATCTCTGGTTTAGGAATTCGTCTTTTCCATTTTAGGAGCATAATTTACTTCTCCAGCTTCACATTATGAAACCATAAATCGTTCTTAGATATATTTTTTTAAATTTTAGATTTCATGCTTATAATCCGCAAGATTAGAGAAATCCGCAAGATTTCTCATTTTCGAAAGCTGATGCAATCTTGCCCTGATAATTCTCCTGCATTGCACGTTCTAGTTTATTATTGATAATTAAAATAGAATGAAAAAGTTTGAAGTGTTTCTAAAAAATGGACGTAACATATCTTTGAAATGTAGAATAAAATAATTAAAATTCACTTAATAAATTTTTTGAATAAAAAGGGGCTTATTGTAGTCCAAAATGAAAATCACATATATGTGTGTGACTAAAGAATTTTATAGGGTGTTGCTATATAAAATATTTTGGAATAAATATTATAAGCAAATTTGAAAATAATTTTATATGCGTAATAATAATTCTCCGCTCTGGCAGCGCGATGTCCATTTTCAATTGAAAATACAGATCAAAATATGTTTATTGTAAATAAGCCCTTCTCGGGCACTGCAGTGTGAAATGGAAATGGAAAAACTCTCACTACTTATCGAGTTTGAGTTTAATTCAGCTCACAGACAGTACTAGCCATTAACATATATAATAATAATGCAATATTTAAAGTTTTGTTAAAAATCCAACAAAATATAATAACACAGAGTTATAACTGGTTATAACTCTGTATATAACTTCAAAAACTTCATTGTTTATTTGCTGTTATATCAACCTTCTCGCAAATCTACCAAATACTGATATCAAGTCAATTAATTAATTAGATTTAGAAGTATTACATATTAAATAAAAAAAGAACTTTAAGGAAGCACGCGATTTATTCTTTTATCTGTGGCTTAAAAATTTTGCAAGAGCCCGATTTGCTAATTTTGTTTTTTTTCGAAATTTCAATTTTTTTAATGGTTTGAGATCAAATTTGGAAAAAGTTTATGTGTGTATGTGATCCCAAATTGTATATATAGTCAACATTTTTTACTATAGTAAAATGGTTTGAATGTTTGAAATCAGTGCAGTATAGTTTTTGAAAAAAGGTCAAAATATATTTTGACCAGAAACTATTTGATAGAGTCCATGGTCTTAAAGAACATTCTCTCTAAAAGATTAATTATTTTAATTTTAAAGTTTGAAGTTTTCATCAAAGTTTAGAATAATGAGCAGCATTTTTGTGCTATGAGCCAAAATTTGATTCTTATTCTTTAAATTTTAGAAACTGCTAAACGCATTTCAAAATTTTTGAAGTCATTGATCGGGACTTAGTACAAAATTTATTGCCCACATTTTCGTACAAAACTGACGAAATAAATTTGATCACAGCTAGTTTAATCGAAACCGTTTTGGAATAAACGTTATTTTACATAAAACATCAATAAATATATTTTGTTTTCATATATTTTAATATTGTCTCGGCACATAAAAAAGTTTCATAAAAATCATTCCTAGCGTTTCCTGGGTATATTGAAACTTTAGTAACTAATCCATGGATTCAAGGGTTTGTTCGGAGTACAGTCACCGACAGTCCGCAACCGTCAGACGCATGCGCAGATCGTTTTGACCGTTCGATGTGTCCAAACCATAGACCTTATACAATACATGGACTGCTAGTTGAGCGCATAAAAAGTGTCAAAAGATGTTCTATGGTATGAGGGCGTACGAGGGTAATTTTGCGGCCGAGATATGTCAAATACGAACACGAGCTTTACCGAGATTAGTCGAATGCACCCGATCGCTTAAATTTTACAGTTACTTGGGTTTACGTGATGTTTGATGGTTCGGGTTTTTAAACTAAAAGAGGATAAAAATATACCTGTTGTAAAATTGTTAAAAGTAAAATGTCTTCTAAAATGTGTTAGGTAAGGTGCCTGATTGCAGTAAAACCTGTTTTGTGCTGTTCTGTATGCTTCGCAAGTATTCCGGAAAATTCGACATTGATCGATATAAAACATCGAGGATATCTTTCATATCCTTCCGAAGAAATGTTTAATTTATGTTTATATATAGAAAGCCTAATTCAAAATTCTTTAAATTTAATGTACAAAAGTTCATATGAAAGCATGATTCTCTGAAAGTTGAATGACTTGGGACTTGCACATTTTTTTAGTTCAAGTTATTTCCAGCAATTTGTCCAGCATTATCATGACCTTATCAACTTTGTCGCAAAAATTTACTTAACAATTAGAATGCACCATGAAGAAAGAAAGAAAAGCAAAGTTGATAAATATATACTCCGCCTTCATACGAAAATTGTGCTTTTTAAACACCAATAATAAATATATTACATTTAAACAAATATTTCATTATTGCTTTCTAATTTCCCATAATAGCTCTAGCCAACTGTCCTTATTTTCAGTGAATTTTATAATATGTAAAATAGTGTTTTAATTTTTTTTTCTAATTTCCCTTAAACACTTTGTATAACAAAAATAAATAAATTAATAAATAAATAGTTCATTACATTCATTAGTTCAACATAAATTGTATATCATATAATATTTTGCCAACAATTTCGAATACACGGACTTTCATTTGACGTTTAAGCGATCGAGTTTGACATATCTCGGCCGCGAAATTACCCTCGTATGCCCTCATACCATAGAACATCTTTTGACACTTTTTTACTTGAGAAATGTATGGGGACTAGCAGTCCATGAAATTGTATAAGGTCTATGGTCCAAACTGAATCCCAAACTGTTGTGGATTTTTATCTACGCGTTCGGTCAGCTCGGTTTGATGCGTTTGTGACTGTCAGAGAACATGGATGCCGATTCTTTGAAAACATTAATTCTTGACTTTTCTAACCTCAAATAAAGTATGAGATTAATAAATTCATCAAATTTACAGGAGTTTAACGATTAAAAATAAATAATTGAATAACTGTTTTATATATTTGATGAAAATAAACATCGAAAAACTTATTTATTATATTTTTAATCTATTATTATATTAAACAATAAAGCTAAAAAAAATATAAATAATAAATAATATAATTTAATTAAAACTAGTAGTATTAGATCAATATTCAACTGCCCAAACAAACATAAAAACAAAACGAATTATACTAAACGGTTTGTGAAAGTTAGGTCGCGTTCGATGTAAACTGTCCTGTCAAATCGTTGGAAACAGTCATGAGACGGCGCATGCGCAGTGTAACATATCAGAATGAGTTTGGAAGAGTTGTGGATCGTCACAAACTGCCACTGCGAACAGACCCCAAAAATATATATCCGTTATACGGATCGCATAATAGATCTAACGGGTTACAAAATGCGAAAATCTTAGGGAGGATGAAATGTCTAATCAGGTAATAACGTAGTATTATTTGATGTTGGATATGGCTATGGATACCCTACTGTTTGACGTTCATTTGACAATAGTTGATTTAATTTAAATCGTGAAAATGAATTGCATGTGAGGTTTAGTATCTGTTATCTACGTACGTTATAAATCAACAGTGGCAAAATGGTTATTATTGTTCCTAAACATTGTCCTTAAAAAAAGTTCATTTTGTTTTACAATTTAATCTGTAATCTAATTTTAGTTGGTTCTGGTTTTGGGGGATATGCACTTCCCACATCGGTGTAGTAGCTTACCAGCAAAGTTTAAGGCCTTGTTAATTCCTGGTAGAATTCAACATATATTGTGCACCGGCAATTTATGTACTAAAGAATCCTATGATTATTTAAAAACTTTAGCAAGTGATGTACATGTTGTAAGAGGAGATTTTGATGAGGTGTCATAATTACTTATATATGAACTTGAAATACAACAATATTATTAATTTTAGTTTTCTTTATAGAATCTCAACTATCCTGAGCAAAAAGTAGTAACAGTAGGACAATTTCGTATCGGTTTAACACATGGACATCAAGTATGAAATTGTTTTCAGATTAATATTTTAAACTGTGATTATTTTGATCTGTGTAATTTCCAGGTTGTACCATGGGGGGATCCAGAGGCTTTAGCACTAGTTCAGAGACAACTAGATGTCGATATATTAATTTCTGGGCACACACATAAATTTGATGCTTATGAACATGATAATAAATTTTATATTAATCCTGGTTCTGCTACAGGGGCTTATAACATGTTGGAAACGTATGTTGATAATTTTATGTATTCCAAATTTCAGTAATAAACATCACAACATGACATTTTGCAAATATTGGTCCTCACACTCTTATTGAATTTTCATATATTCGCCCGTAATCTTTACTTCTTATAACATTAAGCAATTATGTATAAATACACACACACACACACATATATATATATATATATATATATATATATATATAATCATCAGAACTAGTAGTAGACGTGTCTATCTTTTGAATAAAGAGTTTGCATTACTCATAGTTTGAAGTTTTCGCAAACAGCTTAGTGAAACTTCAAAATATAAGTAATACATAATTTCAAACCAATTTGTACACATTTAATAAAATCGTTTAAATAATTTTTGGTAGAATGATGGTACTTATTCAATTATAAGTGGATTTTTATAGTTGGGCAGAAAAGGTCTACTAACAAAGTAATTTTTTTCAATAAAATCTTACAATTAGTGCTTGATACATTTCTTCGCTTTATTCAATTTACTTTTTTTTTCTTTTTGTATAAATTAAGAAATGTAAGTTCGTTCTTATAACTGATGACACCAAGTTCAATATAATAATTTACTTGGTTCCTAGAAATAAGTTTTGTAATAAAGTTGCATAAATCATATTTTTCTCAGTAGTAAGGTCTTTTCTTTTGTTATATGTCTAATTAAGTACTATAAATATGTTATAATTTAATATATTCTGATTAAAATCAATTGCTTTGATTATGTAATTAAATTTAGTTTTTTTTTCAGAAATGCTACTCCATCGTTTGTGCTAATGGACATACAGAGCTCCACTGTAGTTACATATGTTTATCAATTAGTGGCGAATGAAGTGAAAGTGGAAAGAATAGAATATAAGAAAGCATAAATTGTTATTGAAATATAAATATTTGATATTTTGAAAATCATTCCTGATTATATTGATATAATATTTTAATTTTAATATATAATTAAATTATCTCATTAAGGCATATACTATAAAAAACATTAAAAAAAAAATTACATACCTATTTGATATGTACATATAAATATATTTGGATGATCAAAAATATAAAGCCAATTTCATCCACTAATTAAATAATTTGAGAGTAACTTTCATTAATGTGCAATTAATGTACAAGTGCAATGTTGATGATTTATTAGTAATAATATCTAACATGATTGATGGGTCATTTTCATCTTGAGATGCAACAGTTCATAAATGTTTGCTTAAAAGCAAATTATTAGCGTTAGAGCAGTGCCCGGTTTCCTTTTTATTGTACACTTTCATGTGTTTTATTTTGCAAATTTGTTTCTATGTTTTTTTAAATTTCATAAAAGGTGAAGTTTGATGTTTTTGATTTCCAGAAAATCCAATTAACTAGTTTTTGTTTTCTTGAAGTCAAAATCCAAGAAAGTATGCATGTATTAATCAAAAATTCTGATGAGAAACATTGTGATTAGCTTCTAGTAAATATTCACTAGGCCGTTTCTTTGAAGAAATGCACAATTTAAATGAAACTTTGTATGATTTTAAAGTTCGTAATCTTAACGATCATCGTAAAATATTATAGGTCTTCAAAAGGTGATAGTTTAATTACAAAAATTCATTAATATTAAGAAATTGAAGCTTAAGCTCACTATATACCTCGTTAATACAATTACAGATATAGTTTTTGTTTGAAAATTGCAATTGGATATTGAATTGATTACTTTTTAGTAATAATAAGCTATATTTGGAATTAAACAGTTGTTCAATTTTATATATAGCTAAAGTAGCTGCAAAGGGCATCAATTCGATTATTGTTTCAGGATATGAGTTTTCTGTATTTTATATCATACCATTTCGATTAATTATGTTATATTTTACAACCAGGATCACGAGGATATTGGCAGCAATGAGTCACTTTCATATTTTTTTTTTTTTTTTTTTTTTTTTTTTTGTTACAATTTATTTTTGTTAATCAAGACTTTAATGACTTTCATATATGACTACAGTTTTAAATGAGGTGACTAAGTCACCCTAGACAGTCCCATATATCCACCTTAAGGGCGCAAATGCGTCCAGATTTTTCACAATAATTGTCCCGGTTTCAAGTTATTTATCCCTTGTAATGAATTTTTCAAAAGTATGGTCCATCTACTATAAATCAGGTTTATCACTCGATGATAAGTTTATCAATAACACGTTATAAGTATCTGCATTTCATGGAAATGCATTAAACCATTTATACTTGTTTATCTATGCATAAAACATTGCTGACTGCAAAAATCCAAAAGTGGGTTAAAATAACATCTCTCTTTAATAATTTAAAGTTTAGTTTGTTTAGACCTGTTTTTTTCCAAATTTGCGAAAATGCACAAAAAACTACGAAAACGAACTTTCCAACATGTTTCTGATTGCGTGGCACAAGTAAATTAGAATTTTAACAAGGCTTAAAAGCGAAAAAAAAAACATACAAAAAATATAAAGTTTTGCACTCAATCTTACTAAATCCGATTTAAATAAAATGTTTTTTTTTTAACTGATTTTATTATATCTTTAAATAGCATTACAATTTTATTTACAATAAAATACGTATTTGCTATTTTGAATCATATTTAAGGGGATGCACGGGTTTTCTCGTGCAAAAACAACATTTTTTCAATTTTTTTAACGTATGAAAAATGAAATATTTTAATGAATTTTTTTTATTATATATTTAATAAACATTTTGTAAAATTTTCAAAAAAATATATCAAAATGGCGGTCATTGCGAAGCCATTTCCGGCAGTCCCTCAGAAGAAAGATTCCTCCGCGTTGTCAGCAGAACTTCTTTCAGGATCATTCGAAATAAAAATAAAAAATATGTGTTTTAGTAAAGGCAATAAACTAGGTATTGGACACAGGAAAAAAGAAAAAAATGAAAATTGGATTTTTGGCAGATGTTTTTATGAAAAAATGCAAATTTTTCGACATTTTTTTTTTAATAGTTGTAATTAAAAAAAAATCCGTTTAAAACCTTGTAAATGATATCTCGAAGACCGGTGTAAAATTTCATCAAGATCGGTTGATCAAAATCTAGACAATAGTTTTGAGAAAAACGCGTTTGAAGTTTAAAGAGACAATAAAGGTGGACCTCGAGCGTCCACATTTTCAAGACTGTATCTCCGAAACTATTAGTTGGATCAACTTGAAAATTTAGGACAATATTCTAGAGATGTTAAAGAATTTAATAAAAAAATTCGTTTTTTGGAAACCGTAAAACCCGTGTAACCCCTTAAGTAATTTAGCATAAATAGCTTCGCCTCCGTCACGGTTGTGCTAAACTATAAGTTACCTGGTTTTAGTAAAAAAAAATTATGGTCACAATAGTTTTAAATAATTCAATTTTTTATATGTATTATACTATATCTTTTCCACTCTTCAAAATGATTTTTTATTCAACAAATCAAAAATACATTTTAAACAATGAATTCAATTATTCAAATATTAACGTTCAATACACTTGCAGTGCAGTCTGTAGTCATGGCGACGAAACTTCAGTTTGCGCCAACTTCAACTCGCACATGCACAGCAAAAATGACAGATGATTGAAATTGTAAATGTACAGAAAGTATTCGAACAGAACATTTTAGTTAGACTCCCTTATCATTTTAACTAGGAGTTCTGGGGGGTAGAACTAGAACTCTAGACTGAGAGTGACCATAAGAGCCAAAAAACCTTGGTTATTGGCTCACAGTGTATCGAGTCTGGACAATATAATAATCGAATGACAGTTTTATTGGCTTGTCCTTAAGCGATGATTGTCGCTATCTATTTTTCAATTTTATTGACTTGCATTATTAATTCCCTTAATTATTTTTGTTTTTGTACTAGTTTGAATTCATAGATAAAAGGAGGAATTCATGCTGTATTGACAATATGCATTTAATTTTTTTTGGTTATGTTTACATTTTCAATAATATGTTTTGAGAGAACATAGCGTACGTAAATGAGGCAAAGTAGATATTTAATAGTTTGCAATGAGAGGCTTAAATCGTTGAATGGCGATGGTAATTTATGACAATGAGAGTAATATATGACACCAATTTGGAATGGTGTGGAACGGAAGATGTGGACAGTACTCCATCCAATTTTTCTGTTACTAATTTAGATATAATCGGTTTGATATACTCTATTATTGCACACTTAGTAGACGCTGGAGTAGATATTTATTTAGCATGTTATTATTTTTCAAATTCAAATTATGACTACTTTTCTTGGACCGTTGTTTTTATTGCTGTACCAGCTGTGATAAATACCTGCATTTCACTTACTATGTGAGTATTTTACTAACAAAAATTAACAAATAATTTAAAACCATAATTTCTAATAATTACATACTTACAATTTTATTCCAAATTAAACCATAAGTTCTAAAAATTATATTAATATTCTATATCATCTTAAAAGACAAAAATTTGTATTTATTTACTATGTATAGCAAAATTATATTATAAAACTTAATATACTACTATTTTAAAATATTCTAGGTATGCTGAAGACGCTCATAATTTGAATCAAAAGCGTTCAACACCATGCTTGCTTATTAAAAGCAAAGGAAGTAGATGTTTAGGTGCTTTTCAGATATTTATGCATATTCTGCAATTAGCAACAGTAGCACGTTGCTGCGATAGTCTTAAATTTGCTTTTGCAAGTAGACATGCTGAAAAAAAGAATGATAGAAAGGAACAGGTACTGATTTAAACTGATTTTATTTTAAGATTAGATTTTAGTTTTTTATTAATAAGTTAATGTAATTATAAATTTTTTTATTGCTATAAAGTTATTCATGTGTTGTATTCTGACAATTTTAGAAATTGCAATATGAGAATATGTTAAAAGAAGACAGTGACATATCATTACTACGTTTAATTGAGTGTTTTCTTGAGTCAGCTCCTCAACTAGCTTTACAGCTAACAATTATTTTGCGAGACAGTGAAAGTTGGAAAGTTTTACAAATTGTATCAATTATTTCTTCATTTCTGGGCATAGTCTGGAGCATTGCAGGATATCATCGAGCTATTCGTTTTGCACAATATGACAAAGATAACATTACATGGTGTGGAACAGGCGTTCAATTTATGTGGCACTTTTGTATAACATGTGAGTTTTTATTTTTGATTTTGTTAAAAATTAAGCCTTATAATTTTATATACTTATTCAATATGTATTTTTCCATAAAAATAATTTTTATGAATGAAAATATACATATATATGTTCTATCATTGGTTTAATACTTAACTGTTGATGATTAAGATACAGTTGGTCTTGTTGAAGCCAAGACAAATACATTATATAAGGTTTTAATATAAAAACGAAGCTGTACCTTTATCAAAAGATAAACTAGCATTTGTATATAATTGACATAATTAACAAGAATTGAGATTTAGCTACTTAGATAAAATGCTATTACTAAAATCTAATCAAACTAATATTTTTCAAACAAACTTAAATTATATTTAATTGTTTTAATTACAGTGCACAAACACGCACTTATACATTCCAAATCGCGACTTATAATTACAAACTTTGATGCATTTGTACAATTCAACCATTTCTTATTGACTTATAATATTCATGTATTTCTATGTTAAGTTTTATTGAGAACCGGCCGATGTTTGCTAAAAACTCTTCAGCACGATTCTCAAATAATACCTTTCGTTTTTAAATTTTTGATCGTTTCAGGATATTTTGTGAAATTGCTGATGAAAAAACTTGAATATCTTATATACAGCTATAAAATAGCAGCTATGTTTTTTATTTTATACCACATATAAATTGATTTCGTAAGATTACTGATTTTTGTGTTCAATATAATATTCAGTATTTCAATATAATAATAATTTATTATTCTCAATTTTATTTCTCCAAATAATATTTTTTTATGAATTCTCAATCATTTAAATAATGGATTAATAAGTCTTGGATTTTTATGTATTGAATAGATATTCAAAAAGATAATAGATTAAGTATTGTAATTAATAAACTAAGTAGTGTATGACATTATTGTTTAAGGCAAATTGCTGGAACTTTGCGTACCGTAATTAGGCATTCGGGCAATAAAAATAATAAATGATAATTGATTATTAACAATTGTTCAAAATATTTTCAAATGGATTATTATAAATACTCGCACGAAACTGAGAAACGATAATCCTCATCGAGATACATCAAATGGCTTTTAAATTTCTAAAATCGGTTCAGACGTTTTTGAGCAAATGCCGATGGAAGGTCTAATTTTGACAAATGCCAAAAAAATGATATCAATGTTTCAAACTTTGACGAACTTTTAAAGTTAAACGAGTTATCGTAGAGTCGTAATATTTTAGCAAGATTTATAAGACTATCTACCGCGAAAGAATTAATAATAAAAATCGTTGAAAATTTTTTTTTTAACGCTTTATTACAAGAAAACGGCCGGCTGATCTTTACCAAAAACTAATCAGGTCGATTCCCAATCCCAACCTATATTTTTCGAACGGTTTTTGAATTTTCAATATCGATTCAGAATTGCGGACTAAAACGTGGACGAAAAATTTATCACTGATCTGCGATTTACAAAGAAACGGTTCGGCCGATCGTAGCGCAAAACTGACAAACGATAGTTCTCATTGAGATACATCGATTGGCTTTTAAATTTTTGAAATCGGTCCAGCCGTTTTTGAGAAAACGTCAATTTGCGGTAAAAAATCTGTTCATACACACACATATTTTATTTGATCTATACGTCTTGGCGGTTCAATATAGTAGAAATCGATCGATTGTACCTGATTTACGATAAGGGTCGAATTTACAAAATTTTAAGTATTAATATGGGCCTGTTATTCTTAAGCTATCACTACCTTACATAAATATGGGATCTGGTATTTTTAACTAGTTTCTACATATATATTACTTATAACATAACTAGTTCTCAACAATATATATGAATATAATTAATTATTATTATTTCACAGTTTCTCGAATATTATCATTGTCTGCTGCTGCAACTATATTTCCCCTCAAAACAATAGTGGGATGCTTTGTTCATTGCAGTTTTATGACCCTGTGGATATTTTGCTTTGACCGATCTCCCTTTTGTGGCAAAACTCTGTTCCATACTTTTTTATTTTCGGGTGTTTTGGGTTTAGTATACTTATTTACTTACATTATGTCTAATGATGGAAGAACTGCCAAAAAGTTAGTGCTGCAAGTATTATGAAAGTAATTACAAAAATGTATAAAATTTTAATTTTGTGTGAATTTAATTTCAGATATTCATTCTACTACATTACATGTTTTATTGAAACGATTATTTGCGTATCCATTTATGCTGTGTATGTGGAAGAGAATTTTCATCCAAAACATATTTATTTTGGTATAATTGCGATGAGTATCATTCCATACGTTTTAGGAATATGTTTTATGATTTTATACTATAGCAAATACCATCCAAAAAAAATAACTGTGGTTGCGTGATCGATAAGTGCCATTCTTATCGACATTAAATATAATTTTTCAGTAACTTAATTTTGGTTACAATATTATATTAACTTAAATTGCCTAAAGCAATAGTTGCCATTTTCTACATACCATGTTAAGATATTCTAAAGAGTACAAATGAATGTATCATTTTGCGTAACTGATATTGTTTTTAACCCTTGTTTTGAAGGTTGAGAACCGTTTATTCCAGATAATATACAATAGTTTCAGAAGTCTATCTAACTTAATTTTTGAAGAAATAATAATGATTCGTAAAAGAAAAAATGAGTTTTACACTGATGAGAATGTACTACATGAACTTATAATATATTTTAAAATTCTGATAAGCGGACAATGATAACTGCATTGAATAACGTATTTGAACATTATTGAAGTCCAAAGACCATTTTTAAATAAAAAATGTAATAAATAAAAAATTTGTATATAAAATGTAATTTATTTTTCTACTAAGTAATAACATATGATATTATTTATTTTAAAACACTGTATTTAATGTAAATGATTATAATATCAAATGTAATAAATAGATGATGATAGAATATTTTGAATTAATAACTTCTTCCAAATAATGTATAAGCATTTGGCTTGTTGCTACATTTGGGGTTGATGCATTTGTCATCAGGGGTAATTTTGGCAGGTTGTTCAAAAGGTATGCACAATGATTTAGCGCCCATTGATGGAGCATTAGTTTCAGTGTCATCATCCCTGGCACTATCAGCTTTGATTTTATCTTCACATGGAATACTACCACAAAATGGTGCAAGTATTATGTTCTTCCTTTCCAGTTCTTCCAAGAATTTACTCCATTCACGGCAAACTACCTTATGTTCATTCAATTCCTTTGTAGCCTTTTCCAACATGCTGTTGTGAATAACTTCTAACAATTCTTTTATATTTTTAATAGCTTCCTTCTGAGAAAATGTAATTTTTTCTCCAGTGTCTCTTCTAACCACAACCACTTGTTCATTCTTGATATCTTTTGGACCAAGCTCAACCCTAAGCGGAACACCTTTAAGTTCCCAATGGTTGAATTTCCAGCCAGGGCTATAATTCATTCTGTAATCACCTTCAGCTCTAACTTTAGCATCATTCAAATTTTGTTCCAAGCAACTACAACTTTTCAATAAATTATCTTTATCCTCTTCACTTGTACTAGCTGTAATTCCACAAGGAACTATTATTGCCTGCAAACTTGCTACATGAGGTGGAAGAACCAGGCCTTGATTATCTGCATGAACCATTATCATGACACCAATTGTTCTTGTTGTTAAACCCCATGAATTTTGAAAAACGTATTTCTTTTCTTGTGTCTCAGGATCCTCATATACAATATCAAACATTTTAGAAAAGTTTTGACCCAAGTGGTGGCTTGTAGCACCTTGAATAGCCCTCCCACTTGCACTTATAAATGCTTCCACAGTAGTTGTATAGTCTCCACCTGCAAATTTTTCCTTTTCCGTTTTACGACCTTTAACTACTGGTATTGCTAAAAGTTCAGAATAAACACGAGCATAAATATCCAGAATTTGTAATACTTCTTTATCTGCATCATCTTTTGATGCATAGGCTGTGTGACCTTCCTGCCACAGAAATTCTCTGGTTCTCAAGAAGGGCTGTGGATGTTTAAATTCCCATCGTACGATATTGTTCCACTGATTCAATTTTACTGGTAAATCCCTGTAAGACTGAATCCATTTTGCAAAAGCTGGATACATAACAGTTTCTGAAGTTGGTCGAATGGCTACAGGCTCTGCCAAATCTGAATCTCCAGATTTAGTTACCCAAGCCACTTCGGGTGCAAAATCAGCCACATGCTCCTTCTCTTTTTCTAGTACACTTTTAGAGACAAATATTGGAAAATAACAATTTTTTACTCCTAGCTTTTTTATTTCTCCATCTAGAAAATCTTTGATCATATCCCAAATTGCATAAGACCATGGTCGTAGAATATAACAACCAGAGACATCATAATATTCAATCATTTCACCTTTAGTTATAATTTGTGAATACCATCCTGGTAAATCAGTTTCTTTTTGAGCCTCTAGGCCTAAACGTGTTTGTTTTTTCACATTTGATTGCTTTTCATTTGTCTTTTTGTTTGATTCTTTTGGCTCTGATTTATTATCTTTCTTGTTGGTCTTTGCTGCTGATTTTTCAGGCTTATTCTGGCTCTTAGCTTGTTTAGGAGCTTTAACAACAGATAAGTCATTAATACTCGGAGGGTCTATGGAAGCTTCAAAATTTATAGCAGAACTTGGCTCTGCACCAGCCACTGTTTGGGATTTCTCTGCTGCAGGTTCTTTTGATTTCTTTGGGGCTTTAGATTTTGCTGGCTTTACCACTGCAGCAACAGGTTCCTTGCTATGGCCATCAGGAATATAAAACAATACAATTGCTTGCTCCTTGCAAGTAAATTCATTTGCAGGCGCATAAGGTACATCTACTCTAAAGAAACCTCTTCTTTGTAATTGTATTATATCACCAGCCTTGAGATTTCTTAATTCTGGGTCTCCTATCATTTCAACTTCTTTTCGGGTATTTTGATTAATGTATTGCTTGAAGTCTTCATCTTTTCCAAGCAAAGGTTTGCTTATTATATGCTCAAAGTAAACACAGCATGTTTTTGTGAATGGGGCATTTACTGTGTCACACAACCAAGTTAACTTCAAAGTTTTCTTAAAATCTTTATTATCAAGATTAGGTGTTACATCAATAGATAAAATTTTTCCATTGCTGTCTTTATTAATTTTATCAACTAAAAGATTACCCCAGTTTATAAATGTGGCATTCTCACCTTCTTTAAGTAGTTCAGCATCTACACGGTCTATTAAAATCTTTGAACCCGTCCATACAATTTTAGTACCGATTGCTGGGTCTTTTGGATGGACATTCACAGTTTGAGATACATCGCTTGTAATATTTTTTACATTAACAGGAACTGTATCCATTTCCAAAGCAGTGTATCGTGGTGCTATAGGATCTATAACTTTTTTATTAACAGCCCATATTTTATCCCATTCCATAAAGACAACATTTCGACTAGAACCTTGAGAAATAATGAACTGTTTTAAGCCCTCAACAGTCATTCCTCTGCGAAGAACACCTCGGACAGTAGGAAATCTGGCATCATCCCAGCCATCAACTAAACCCTGCTCTACAAACCATGTAAGTTTACGTTTGGATAAAACTGTATTAGTCATGCTCAATCTTGAGTATTCCCAAATGTGGGGCCTTCTCAAACCCAAAGCCTCTATAAACCAATAAAATTGCTCATCTCTATCATGATATTCCATGGTTCTCAATGTGTGTGTCACGCCTTCAATAGCATCTACTATTGGGCATGCAAAATCATATGTTGGATAAACTTTGTACTTTGTTCCTGTGCGCGGATGAGGTTCATTTTTGCACCTGTATATTGTTGGATCTCTGAGACAGCCATTTGCAGAAGACATATCTATTTTAGCACGCACACAACATTTTTGGCCATATTCAGTACCATTAATCATTTCAGACCACATCTTCATATTTTTATCTATACTATTATTTCTATTTGCAGATTCAACTTTTTCTTCTCGTTCAGCCTTCATTTTTTCTGGTTCTGTATCATCTACATAAGCCTTTTCAGATTTAATAAGTTGTTCACAGTATTGTAGCATCAAATCAAAATATTGCGAGGTGTGCGTGAACAAATCTGGTTTAATTTGTAACATTTCCAAATCCTCTAAAATAACTTTCTCAAAGTGAACGTTTTCTTTGGCGGGATTGGTATCATCAAATCTCATTATTAATTTTCCTTGGAAAGCTTGTTGATAATATTGATTGAGCAAGGCTGCTTTTGCATGACCGATGTGGAGATAGCCTGAAGCTTCTGGGGGAAATCGAACCACGACTTTACCCATTTCGGCACCAGGTAAATCCACAAACTTACCTTCTTGTTGAACTGTATCATTACTTTGATTTTTAGTATTTTTTGAAGCTTTTGAATCAACCTCATTGCTCACAAATGACATAGCATATTTCACACAGTCTTGAGCTTTTATTAAATTGAACCATCTGGTAATATTATCGGGTACAGGCTTTTTAGATACTGACTGCCACTCATCGCGCAAGCAGGAAAAAACAACCAAATCAGCTATTGTGAGTTTGTTAGCTACAAGATAAGTAACAGATGTCAACGTCTTGTCTAAATATTGCAAGTTGTTAGTTAAATCATCCTTCAACGTTAAAGCAAATGTCAAAAAATGATCTGTTTGTGCATACTCAACAGCTGTTCGGCCGTACAGTTCGTATTGTGGAGCCGCGGTGGCTAGGGCTCTGCAAGCATCGTTGTCAGTATGAATATCTAAAATTGCGTTATTAATTGTCAATTTATAATTCTTTCCCCAATCAATTTCCACCGGATGGGTTCCTTTAATTAAATCTATAACTGCCAATACGGATATTGGCGGACTGCTCTTAGAACATTCAAGTTTTAAAGTCATTTTATTCACAATAAATATTTATAAATACAACGATAAGCTAAATTCTGCTATTAAAACTACACGCACACGAAACTTGCGTGGCGAACATACGATGTAAAAATAGGTTTTATAGGTTAAAATCGGTATGTGCATATGATAGTAGCGCCAACTATAGTAAAATTTTCAAACAATAGAAATAACTAAAAATAAAATCACTGGTGACTTCTGTCCATACAATAGCATTAGTTATAAATTTTTGCATTATCGTCTTTATTTTAAATAATAGCTCCATAATCATAGGTATAAGCAGAGAATAATCCATATTGTTTGGCTTTTAGATAATATATAACAAATATAATATATAGAAATAAAATAATGGGCTGAGCACTGAGCACATGGAGCACATTCTGAGCACCAAGCAACCATCAAGCAACTAACTCATATAAATAAGCATATAATAAGCCTAAACTATGAACTAACTAATCTTGCCAAGATAGTGGTGCTTCAAAAAAGTAAATAGGTGCTGATGCATATAAGGCATGATCTCATAGATGAAAGAAGAGAATAGTGTGGCCTAACCCTCATTAAAGATATTTCTGATTGTCCATTTGCTCTTGTCGAAATTTCTTGCGTGAGCAAGCATTTCTTCATAATTAAGTAGCATTTTTAACTTCCCAAAATTGATTGTTTTGCATATCTTTACGTTTAAGCATATCTTAGAAAAAAATGATATGTGTATATGTATGTGCATGGATACAATTTTTCATTTTTTCATCCACGTTTTCGGGCGCACATATCAACCGATTTTAATGGTTCAAAAAACATTCCACTCCTATTGAGTGATGTGCTGATTAGTTTTTGACACTTTTAGCTCTTTCTCAGAAACGGCTGGGCCTATCTTTGCCAAAAGCTAATCACCACGTTTTTTATCATCACAAATTGAATGTTTTTTATTTTTATTCAAATCGGATGCTCTGTTCTCTCAAAAACTCAATTTACACTTTCTGCATTCTTTGCTGTAAATCTCCGAAACGGCTGGACCAAAACTTATTGGACCTAAAATATTTCAAATCGGTCGATTCGTGCTTCCGAAAACGTGGACGAAAAATTTGTATCCATACGTATGCACACACACACACATCATACATATATCCAGTTTTTCTAAGGTTTGCCAAAATGTAATTTCGATTTTTGGACGATTACAATAACTTTTGTAATTTTCGATTTTTGGACGATTACAATAACTTACTCTACGGGAAGTTAAAAAACAAACTTTGCTAGCATAACTACTACTAAAAAAGGTTAAATAATGGTTAAATAGCATTATTTTTTTGATTTCAAGTTACTCGACAATCTGTTGGTTTGAACCTATTTAGGAAAAATATGCGTTACAGGTTGTCACGAGTCGCAAATGAGCATTTGCCCTAATAATAACTTATATTTAAATATGTTCATTCATATTTTATTGTTCATGTCAACTGATGACAACATCAGCGATTTCTTTTATCTCTGCGAAAAAGAAATTTTGATCTTATGTGAAATGTATGTCTCTAATGCTAATAACATGTCTTTTTATTATTAACATGTTTGATAGACAAATATTTTATCGATAATATAATAATAAAAAAAATAAAGTACATCGATACAATTTAAATTCATATTTTATCAATAATGTTTATATTTTTTTCATATTTACAAATATCTAATAAATTATTATGAATGAGAGAAAAAACATGGTACTTTCGAAGAAGTATTGATGTTAGAAAAATAAATATTTTTATCAATTATACATACACATACAAGCCAAAACTTACACATTCGTATATGACATAAATATATCCATTTGTTGCAAAATGTAAAATTATTTATACTCGTAATATATGATGTTTAGTCGAATGCCACACGAAGTTGTGTCGATCATTTCGCCTGTTTTCGCTCTTTCGCGCTGGCATTTCACAGATGGAACGAGCGAGTTCACCAGTATGACATACGCAGCGATCGAGCGCCAGCGTTCATGTGAATAAAACCACCGGCCATGTTGCATTTAATCATAAGGAACGGTTTTAGTGAATGAAATAAGTTTTCAGCATTAGTTGTGTTTTAAATGTGTTAAAAAGGATTTTTAGTGATTTAAATTGTGTGCAGTGATATTTTTACCACACATAATGAATTGGGGAACCGAATTATGGGTAAGAGAATATAGAATATGAAATATTATTTGTTGCACCTGACTCGCCCTTCAGCCGTATCGAGTCTATTGTTAGCAGTTGTCAAACTACTGTATACAGTTTATTTATTTACTTGTTTTTCGTGTTTTGAGCGATATTAAGTTATATTTTTGGTTTTACATGCAAATGCTGTACATATCATAAAACAACTTATTTAATTGTTTACATTAATAATTATTATAAAATTATATTTATTTGTATTTGTGATTTTTTGCTTATATCGCAATTTATTCTACGAAAACAAACTAATATATTCATATAATATCATGCTGAAACTGTTTCAATTCAACTTTCTTTCTTGATTCATCATTTCATGCTACAATATCTTTGTATCAGATTATTAAATATTCGACATTTTTTGTCGCAAGGTATTGCATGTGTTTGAAAATACCTGTTTTCTCTAAGGTGGATTCAGCAAAATTCCGTATTTATAAACCGTATTTGAAACATTTCTATAAATACATTGACTTATTTTTGATAGTAAATTCTTTTCATGAAGTAAAAATTAGATAAGCAAAATGAATGAAGAATTTTCTGAAAATATTTCAGAAAAGAAATATTTTCATCGTTGTCATATATATTACATTAGGCAATTAAATAGATTGAGCTTTTGGAATATGATGAAAAATGTATACATTTTTGATAGACAAAACTAATTTAACAATGAACTAGTGGGGTGCATGGCATTGTACCTGAAGGCAAATTCCTCGAACTTCCCGTACCGTAATCAAAAATCTTGGTACGGAACCCAAAAAAATTATACAAAATGTGTACACATTATTAAAATCTCTATAAAATATCTGCCTATGTCCAATAAACATTTTTGACCGCCAAATGACATTTTTTTAACTTATTTTTATTGGAGTCCATAACCGCTGGACCTGCCTTCCCGAAAATTTAATCAGTTTTTCATCTTATCAATATGTACAAGTAAAATGTTTTTTAAATTATTAAAATCGGACGCTCCGTTCTCTTAAAAACTCAGTTACCGTTTTTGCCACTTTTTGCCCCGTATCTTCGGAACGGCTAGACCTGTCTTGCCAAAAACTAATCAGCACGTCTTCTTATCAATACGAATTGGATTGGATTATTCAAATCGGTTGATCGGTGTTCTCGAAATCGTCGACGAAAATTTGTATCCTCACACACACACATACATCAATTTTTTTAAGGTATGCCTAAATATTCAGAACCCTTTAAAACGTAAATATAAATATAAATATAAAAGATATATAAAAAAAAATATTTTTGATTTTTTTTGCGATTACTATAACTTACCCTTCGGAAAGTTAAAAATTTAATATTTTTAATTTTGAAAAATTATTACAAATTTCATTTAATGGTTTGTTTGACCAGTGTACAAAAATTACTGTTATATATATTAATATTCTTATCATATCATATTACTCAAATATATATTAACTTTACTTAATTTAAGTCATCGGTATGGATAATGAGCATAATTTAATTTTTTTGTTTTGATAAAATTCCAATCAATTACTATTGATATTTTTATTCCAATATTAAAAGCATCTGATTGGCCCCATGCATTTTATTCTTTTATCATATGTTGTTTTTAAAACATATAAAATGATTGAATAAGAAAATAATTTAAAATTCCTGAAGTTCAAATAAATAATAAAAATCAATTAAACGTATTTGATAATTTAAAACACGTATGTTGAAAAAATTCAATTTATAGAGATTCTAAATATTTATTACAATATGGAATATAATATTAATACATAAGTATGCACGCTTAAATGTCTTCTATTTCTTCAGAAATGATAAGAAATTGAGATATTTTACTAGGAAAATGATTGAGTAAATCTGTTATAAATTGTGTTAAATCTCTATAAAACTAATGTAGAGCAGAGTAATCAAGACATCCTTGTTTCGCTTCAACTTGCATAATTAATACTGTATGCAAATATAGATGTCAACAAACTTTGTGAGAAAAGATGATCATTAATTATTCTACTAATTGGACTTCGTTTTTAATAATTGCACTTTGTATACCTTTGTGTATTTTTGTTAACAATAATCTTGAAATATATATAGTACTTCAATTAAATTATGGTCATACTTGCGAAGGAGAAGTCTGTAGTCAGAAAATATGAATCGTTAACTTTATTGAATGACTTAATTTTTTAAATTGCTCTCTTGATATTTCTAATCACTCTTCATCGTTTGACATAGCAATCGTCAGTTGCATTTAGTTTTTGTTAAAGATGGTTTCTTAATAAAAAGTTTTACAAGTTTTATTTTATTTTGATTAATTAGATTGTTTACAGACGTAATGACATAAGGACCTAACAAAACCCCCTTCTCTCACCACTCTATTAAAAAAAATGTTGCACCTCCTTCAATTTTTTTCATCAATTTTATTTCATAAATACTCAACTGACAATATAAAACCACAAATTAATATGCAATATTATGCAGAAAACTATAGATCTTATATGTAATATAAGGTCTATGATGAAAACTAATTATTTTTTTGCTTTTTTATATCCTTTGAAAAAATTTGGTTTATTTTTGAAAATAGAATTTTGGAAACAGATGAACGCGTCTCCCCTCAAGTTGTCAAAATACTTTCCAATTATTTTTGGCAAAAATATTACATTTATCACAAGAAGTTGTTTGAAAGATCGTTAATTAATATTACAGCTACAATTATCTGATTCCCACAATTGCAAATACTTTTCAAATAATAGTGTATTATAAAATACCAAATTTTAAATGAATTACTAAGGTTCGAACGATGTTATTAATTTGCTGTATGATTTATTTAATAAGATCGATCAAGTCGTTTCAATAAAAAGTTTTACCGCAATTTAAAAAAATAAAAAAATCATATTTCCTGATTTTCCTGAAATCTACAAGCTACCTGTTTCCTTTTAGTAATAATATTACGTTTATCACGTAAAAGCTTTTCAAAAGATAGTTAATTTCTATTACAGCTGCAATTAGCTGATTTCCAAAATGCAAATACTTTTTAAATTATAGTGTACCCAAATCATACTTGTTTATCTATGAGTGTACCTATTATAAGACAGAGAATTCTAAATAATTTTCTAAGGTTCGACCGATATTATTAATTTGCTGCATGATTTATTTTCATGGGGTCTTTTGAATGAAGTCCTTTATTTATTGAGTTTTCAGTTCGATAGATTTCATCTGACTTAAAATTAGTGAACCTTGCGAAAGTTCCGTCCTAATTATAATTTGGTTATCGAATAGTTTCTGTTACGTGATTATAGATTTTAGCACCCTACATTCGTATTCGTGAATACACATTTAAAATATACTATAACATTTTAAGTATGTTGTTTCCATAAAAAACAATTTTTTTTCTTACATGTAATATTTTTTTATTTATTTAGTAATTTTTACAACTTTAGGAAACAAAAAGTAACTTTAACTAGTGGAGTATATGGCATCGTGCCTTAAGGCAAATTGCTGGGACTTTCCGTACCGTAACGAAATGTTCGAGAAATATTAAATGTTTTCAAATAGATATTGTAACATTGATTAATATTTATAAGAAATATATAATCTGAATTGCAAAGTTGAAATTATTTGTTTAAAGTATATTAGAATTTTAGTCAGAATTAAAAATGAAATCTGAACAATTTTCGATATACAAAAAAACATTTTTTGAAAAAAGAATTGAAACCAAAATTCTTTTCCAAAAGCAATTATTTTGTTAAAACAAGCAGAAAGTTCTTTTTGAAATCATTCAAATCTGACGCTTAGTTCTCTCAAAAACTGGCATTGTTGCACAATTAGTTCGGTATCTTCAAAACGGTTGAACCTGCCTTTGCTTAAAACTAATCACCTCTTCTCCCAATCATTACAAAATTGAATGGTTTTTAGATAATTTAAATGATACTCCGTTCTCTCAAAAACTCGAGCATTTTCTCTGCACTCTTTGCTCCGTATCTCCGTAACGGCTGGACCTGCCTTTTTCAAAATTAATCAGCACATCTCCCTATCAATAGGAATCGAATGTTTTTTGAACCATTCAAATCGGTTGATCCGTGCGTCCGAAATAATTCGGACATACAAAACACATACACACACACATTGTGTTTTCTGAGGTATGCTAAAATGTTCAGAAACCTTCAAAACGTGGAGAAATGCAAAAATTTTCATTTTCGATTTTTGGCCCATTATGTACTATAATTACCCTACGGGAAGTTAAAAATACAAAATCATCTTACCTTTGTTGGAGATAATACGTGTAATATTATAGCACTAAAATTATTATTGCTAGTGTACAACTTCATAAAAATATATGGAAAAATCAATCATTTTTTTAAATTAGTTTTTGATTTAAGTATTATCAAGTGCTTGTATTCAAATCAACAATTCATTAAAAAATATTTTTTCTCTTTTCTCACATTCGACGTTTCTTCACATGAGTTTTTTTCAACTAGGTTTGCAGAAAATAATACTACAAATGTCAATACATTTTCTAATTGACAATAAAAGATAATTAGTGAATTTTTACTTTGTTCCTTTCCCTCAATGTGACTGCAGTTCCGATTCACTCTATTTGTTCTTGACCTTGTTTTTGTCACTATAATTCAATTATAGTATAAACTAGACAAATTCAGTGACGTACTTTACACAAGTTGTGAGATTTATATTGCAGAATATTTAACTATGTTCAATGAGAAAATAGTTTTGTTTCTAGATAAGATATTAATTCAATAAAGTTGATAATTGGAACGATAACGTTACCTGTCACACCGGTTTCTTCGTCGAACGGTATGCTGGCACACAACATGAATACCTCAAATTATAGATATTGTGTGTTAAATCTTCAAATTTGATATTGATTATAGAGTCATGTCCTTATTTTTATTAATTTATTCTTTATTGATATTATGATAATAAAAACCATAACATGAATAGATAATATAGAATATCGTATATTATAATTATTGTAAAAA